GTGTGTGTGTGTGTGTGTGTGTCAAAAAGTAACAGTACTTAGCCTTACTGGCGCTTGGCTGACTCTCACAGGAATCCACCAAATTACACTGTTTTAAAGCTGTGTCACACAAAACAATCATCATCTTTATCATCATCATCATTTTAAAAAAGTGCTTCAAACAGAAGCGCAAACACCAGAAGAGGACAGAACAAGATAAAGTAAAGTCACAATAAAGGGAGAAAGATGCAAAAGGGCAACAAAAGCAATAATACCACTAAGATATAACAAACGAAAAAAATGATACAGATAATTTAATAAAAATTCTTTGTCTTCTAGCAATTCCTAGACACTAATGATAATGGCAATTTTATTCCTATAGGACATTAGACTAGATGTGCTGAACATAAATGTTTAAAACGGGTTAGTGGCCTGTTGCTAGTTAACCTAAGTCGTTGCAAAATATTCCTGCAAGTTTCTTTTTAAATGTATTTTTCCAGCGTTTTGTTGCCCCTGTCTCAATTTTTTGTGATGTGTAGCTGATATCAAATTCCAAAATACTTCATTATTATTACTTTTTTTAGTTACCTCTTTCTTATTAACATTTGATATGTTTTCTAAATTGTATGTAATTGCTCTCTGTGTTTATTTACAATTTAAAGAGCGTCCCAACTTCGGGGTTGTGAAAGAATCAGGCAAAATTCTGTGCTTTGAGACGATGTAACTCGCTCTAGACAGGGCAAGTGTTAAGCACAAGTTACCATGGTGATGTAATCAGATAAAAAGCGAGCCATCTTCATGACACTGAAAACTCAAATGTCAACATATTTTGCTGAGCCAATAATGACACTTCTTAGTACAGCCCTGTGCTCACAAAGTAGGACTTGAAAGAAAAAAACCTCAGCAGAACTTTGAACATTCACTATTTCAGAATAAATCAAATATCAGTGCTAACACTCACTGGGTGGTGGTATCAGGGGTCCTTGTATCGCCTCACCACTGCTTTTACTAACAGCAATAAAGGCAGTAAAGGCACTGCTCACTCCTGATTGGATGCTCAACTCCTCCACCTTCTTCTTCACTTCCTCATCACGCTCTCCTTTGTTGTCTCTTGCTTCCATCTCGAGGGAGCGAATCAGAGTTCGAGCAGCCAACATGTGGACTGTTAATCTGCAAACAGGGCGAAGGAAGAAGTACAGCTGGGATTCATCTTACACTATCATCCTAATAATGTTTAATAACATGACAACAATGACATACTCACAGCTAGCTCCATCCACAAACAATGCATACAAACAAATCTTAGTATAATCTGTGCATGCTAAAATGTAATGCAAAAATCTATTGAATCATTAGTTTTGAATCTGAACTTATTTCTACTCTAATAAAAAATTTATAACTGCTCCTGACCAAATGTATAAGCTAATACTACTAATTGTACCACCAGACTAACAGCTCATTTACCCAGTGTCCTCTGCAGGTCTGAGACTGAAGTGCAGCTGGTTCTCAGAGTGATGACCTGCCAGGCTGTACTTCAGCGTCACACAGCCCTCTGCTGCCTCTGAGCTCTGACACAGAATTACAGTGTTAGAAACCAACTACATCTTCACATGAACATCACTGTTAATCATATTTCAAAACACAACCGACATCTTTCACTGTGAGAGGCTGCTGCTCCTACCTGTCCAGTGAGCTGGGCATAAATCAGTGACCTCTGACCCTGGAGAATGGATGTGATTGGTGGAGAGAGGACAGTGATAGACACTTCCTTTGGTAAATCCCATGTGACTGAGATGTCAATCACAGATGGCTGCAGAGCAAATTGCAGTGACTGCATCACCTGAATAATAATTCAAAACAAAGAGTTAGGAGCTGTTTTTTTAATGACTGGAATCACACTCTCTGATTAAATAAGTATTTTCTGTGGTTTTGTTCAATTTGACTTCTGATTGTGTTTAATGTCTTACTTTTGGTTGTATTTTGTCAGTCGCAGTGATGAACTGAGCGTGACCTCCTCCTTCCTTGGATATCTTATTAATGAAATTATAGCTGGTGTTTTGCCCTGTCCCAAAAGAGAAACACCTGCAATACAACAGTTTCCATTAGATACAGAGACAACTTTTAGCACATTCTGGGAATTCTGCAGATATCTGGTACCACGCAAAAGTCTTAAGCCATCCCTCATTTTGTTATATTTTATAAAATATTAAGTCAAGTGCCTTTTTATGCTTGAATGACTCATAAGTCAATGTCATGTGGCTTAAACAAAAACAGCCACACAACCATGTTCAAAGTAAAGCATTGAAAGACCTTCAGAAAGACTATTCCCCAAGACCACCTTAAATATGGCAAAAAAAGAAAAGAAAAAGAAAATCTGCCTCCTTAAAAGCAAAATACTAAGAAAAGAGGGATGGATCAAGACTTTTGCACAATTTTGTAGTTATGTTTTGTGTTTTCACCTGTGAGAACTTGAATTCTTCTTCACCAGATCTATCACTTCTTTGACGTTCTTCACCCATCCGCGAGTTAAGACAAACAGCTAGAAAGAAGAGTTTCACCATAACAGATGTAAAACAGTAAAACAGTTTGTGTTTAGAGCCATTTTTGGTTCTTTGTTTTAGAAACACAAATGGTTTATGAGTAACAAACAATGCACAGTTAGTATGAAGACCAGTTACCTGAACAATAATGGTCCTGACAAGCTTTTAAAAACAGTATCTAGAATTGCATGGTAATATTACTGCAAATTGTGTGTCAATCCAAATTACATACTGCTTGTGTAACAATGGAGATCCATTTAGGATGGTGTGACATATATTTTCTTATCAGAAAGCAAATGTGCGGCTCTATGCAGATGTCCTTGTCTCCAGTTTGTTGGGCCACTACACTAAATCTGTGTACCTTATTCAGCCGAATGTGAAAATAGTGCAATAAGAACAAAATCACCCATCCAGCTGTTTCTGTATTTGTTGGTAAGGTAAAACAGTCATGTGAAGTTGTACAGTCCCAATACAGGGAAAGGAAGTAAGTCACCATAGCTTATCTCCTTGGATTTTTAGGTAAATATATGTTCCAAGAGTACCTTTATGCAACTATTAGTTGTAATTAAGATTGGGGTGAGCTCTTAAGTCGTGTGTGTGTGTGTGTGTGTGTGTGTGTGTGTGTGTGTGTGTGTGTGTGTGTGTGTTACCTGTCTAGGCTGATTGAGAATGCAGGGCTGGCTGTAAATATGTTTGAGGGGCTCAAGGATCTCTGTTTCTCCAAGATTAGCCTTCATCTTCTTTACTTTCTTCAGAGCCTCCTCCATGGTCTGCCGGCTGTACTCCACACTCTTACTGTCATTACACAAACACAATTACACAAGTACATGTATTTCTTACCAAAAACAAGAAGACTTCTGTTGGGTGAAGGAATTACTCACGGGAAGATGTGTTCATATCTGGACCCAAAACTGTAAATGTTGAAATAGCAGCCCATTGGTAAACTCTTCAACAGGAGGAGCAGAGTGTCCTTCAGGGAAGAGGGAAAAGATGGAGAAAGCCACTGTGTGAGAGGGACACTAGAGATTAAAGACTTCATGAGTCACACATTATGACTACCTTTGCACTGTGGATGCAAGTCTGAAGACTCCTTCTTTTGATCCTAAATCCCATACTTCCAGATCGATCGATTAAGAACACAAACTCTCCACATGAAGCCGTTGAAGACATCACAGACTGGGGGAACTCAGGGTACAGACTCACCATCACCACTGGATCACCCATCAGAGAG